TTTTTTAGCAGTTCTTCCAAAGGTATGATGACAACAGATGTAAGAGGCAATTGTTTGCAACTAGGCAGAGAGACTATTTGTGAATTTGACAGAGAACCAGGATTCAGATATAAGCATAAAACACCTTGAATTCTCAATTCCTCCAGATAAAGGGCAAGAAAAAGAAGTGGTGGAAGGTCACAACTGTGGTCATAGAAGTTCTAAGCAGGAGCAGAAGGGACAGGTATACCAGTGCATCACTCTCGCTGGCTCTCATCTCTCTCTTTTTTTTTTTCTTTTTTTGTACTGGGGATTGAACCCAGGGGTACTTAAACACTAAATCATATCCCCAGACTTTTTATTTTTTATTTTGTGACAGGGTCTCACTAAGTTGCTTAGGGCCTGGCTAAATTGCTGGGGCTGGCTTTAAACTTGGGAACCTCCTGCCTCAGCCTCCCTAGCCAGGATTACAGGACTCCACCACCATGCCCGCCCAGTGCGTCTATTTTCACTTCAATGTGCAGCACTTTCTCATTCAGGTGGACAAGTTCAAGTCCAACTCCTTTCCACCTGATCCTACCGAGAGATGCCAGGGTAGCTCCTATCACACCTATTTTACACTTGACTCTAGGGTGGCCAGAATGTGTAACCGGTCAACTGAAAACCACTGTGAAGATTTTCCAGCCCACGAGGTCCTAACTATTTGTCTCTCTCAGTAGTAGCCTAAATCAAGACAATCCCTGCGGGGTGTTTTCCAGATGTATTTCTTCCCGGAACTTCCCCTTGGAAGAGTGCTTTCTTAGGAACCCTGGTGGCACTGCCGCTACTCCTGGCCCTCGTCGCGATGCTGGCGTTGTACTACTTGCACAAACAACAGCAGTCTCAAGGTATGAGGCAGGCCAGAGAATCACCCTCGTACAGCTGGCTTGGCCTAGGAGGAAAGTGGTCCAAGCAGCGTCCAAGGATCCACAGGCAGGAAGGGGACCCAGGGTGGCTTACAGAGGCACCATCCTATTCAGGCAGAAACAGGACCTGGAAACAGGCAGAGGAGGGCACATATTAAGGCTTCTCTCTTTCTTCCCTTCAGAAAAGCTAAAGAAACAGACAAAGAAGGAACAAGGTAAGCTGCCCCAGAGGCGCTCTGTGTCCAACATCCCTGACCAACAGAGGGCGCTGGGTCAAAAGGCAAGGACCCCAGATAAGGGCGGAGGGCGGAGTTAGGAGCAGGGCTGAGTTAGGTTAAGCGGGACCGAGGTTTGTTTTTACCTTTACCTACCCCAGAGCCTGATTGCTTCTGGCCCAGAGTCCCCTCCTTGATGCGGGGG